ACCACTCACAAAACCAGCATGAAGAACAAGTATGAGTGCTTATTTGAGGGAATCAAACTACAGGAGAATCAAACCCTCCTGAACAGGATCTACACACAGCTCTACATTATAGAGGGAGAGAGAGAAGGGGTGAATGTAGAACATGAGGTTTTACAGATGGAGAAAACAACCAGAACACAAGACACTACAATCTGCTGCAATGACATCCTTAAACCCCCCACCTAAACCAGGATGTGAGGAGGAAGACAAAATAAAGACTGTTCTTACTAAAGGTGTCGCTGGAATTGGAAAAAAACGTCTCTGTGCAGAAGTTAATTCTGGACTGGGCCAAGGGAAAAGCCAATCAGGATGTAGATTTCATGTTTGTGCTTCCATTTCGAGAGCTGAACTTGATCCGAGATCATCAGTACAGTCTTCACAGACTTCTGCTGGACTTTCATCCTGAACTTCAAGATCTGGACTCACAGATTTATGAGGAGTGTAAAGTTGTGTTCATCTTTGATGGCCTGGATGAAAGCAGAATCACACTGACGTTTTCAGATGATGTGAAAGTTTCTGACGTGAATGAGTCTTCATCAGTGGCTCTGTTGATGTCAAACCTCATGAAAGGAGATCTGTTTCCCTCTGCTCTCATCTGGATCACCTCCAGACCAGCAGCAGCCAATCAGATCCCTTCAGAATACATCAGCCGTGTGACAGAAATTCAGGGATTCAGTGAGCCTCAGAAGGAGGAATATTTCAGGAAGAGAATCAGTGATGAGCATCAAGCCAGCAGAATAATCTCACACATCAGAAGATCAAGAAGCCTCCACATCATGTGCCACATCCCGTCTTCTGCTGGATCTCATCCACTGTGCTTCAAAACATCCTGAAACAAGATATCAATGCAAAAATCCCTCAATCTCTGACTGAGATGTACATCCACTTCCTGCTCATTCAGATCAATATGAGGAACCAGAAGTATGAAGAGAGAGATCCAGAGAAAATCCTGCAGTCCAACAGAGAAGTGATTGTGAAACTTGCTGAAGTGGCTTACAATCAGCTGATGAAGGGCAATGTGATGTTTTATGAGGAGGACCTGATTGAGAGCGGCATAAACGTCACTGAAGCATCAGTGTATTCTGGGATTTGCTCAGAGATATTTAAGGAGGAATCTGTGATTAATGAGAGGAAAGTCTACAGCTTCATTCATCTCAGCTTTCAGGAGTTTCTGGCAGCTTTCTATGTGTTTCACTGCCACATACACAACAACAAGGAGGTACTGAAGTCATTTTACAAATCTGAGCAATTGTCATCGTACATGCTGCTTAAAGCTGCAGTTGATAAATCATTGAAGACTGGACACTTTGATCTTTTCCTCCGCTTCCTGCTGGGCATCTCACTGGAGTCCAATCAGATACTCTTAGAGGATCTTCTGACATACACGGAGAACAACTCAGGGGCCATTTATTTAGTCACAACATATATTACAGATAAAATTATTGGTGATGAACAACTGTCAGCTGATAAATCTATCAATCTGTTCCTCTGTCTGCTGGAACTGAATAATCAGACTCTCTACAGAGAGATTCAGAGTTTTGTGAATTCAGATAAACTGTCATGGACGAAACTCTCTCTCCCTCACTGCTCAGCAGTAGCCTACATGCTTCAGATGTCAGATGAGGTGCTGGATGAACTGAACCTCAAGAAATTCAACACATCAGATGAAGGCAGAAGGAGACTGATACCAGCTGTGAGAAACTGCAGAAAAGCCCTGTAAGCATTTTGGCTTTTGGCATTTGCCATTTTGTATGAAAAGAAGTCTTAACATGGAATGAGTTGTAATCTCAACATAATCACAGTTGATCTCCTGTGTCTTTTTTTATCCTTTCTAGGCCCTGTTTACACCTAGTATTAAGATGTGTTTTTGTCAATTCGAAGTGGACGACACGATAAATAGAGGTGTGAACGTGGTCGAAAACGTTTTGATCTTGTCCACTTTCGAGCAGAATAAAATAACATATGATAAGAATAAAATAAATAGGTCTACACAAAATGTTTTGACTGATATGTGTTAAAGATTTCGAATGTATCCATGCAGTAAATGTTTTAAAAATAGAGGAAACACACACACAGTGTTAGGCTTGTAAATTGTGTAAGATGAAAAAAAAGCCTACATAGACTGGCCCATACACCCTCCCTTCAAAAGAAATCAGAACAGAAGTGGTCGAAAGTGGACAGAAGAGACGTTTTAAAGGGGTCATGGGATGCCCATTTTCCACAAGTTGATATGATTATTTAGGGTCTTAATGAAAAGTCTGTAACATACTTTGGTTAAAATTTCTCAATGGAAGTGTAAAACAACACCCTTTTTACCTTGTCAAAAACAGCTCTTTTCTCAGCAACCCATTTCAGTGCATGACCCTTTAAATGCTAATGAGCTCTGCTCACCCCGCCCCTCTCTTCCGTGGGGTGACGAGCAGTTCTTTGACAGACTGTAAACTTTAGCAGCATTTGTCGTGGAACTTGCTAACTAGCACATTATTAGGAAAGGTGATTTGCAAAGATTCATAAAAAGGCGCATTTAGGTTGATTGGGGGCACATTTGCTTCAAAAGCAAAAGTAACCCACTGCCATTGCGACGGAGTCTCCAGAACGCACGCCGTTAAAGCCCATTCACGTGAGCGCAGCATGCGCTAAACCTGCGCGGTTTAAAACATCTAGAGCTCAAATCTGCCCTTTGAACACAAGGCTCTCCAGATGTAGGGCTGAATCGGAAAGTTATCAATGTGTCTGTCCAGTAACTAATGATGAACGCGCAGTTTGCAGAGAAGCATTTCAGTTGCTCACGGTGGACTGTCTGACTTAAAGGGATAGTTCACCCAAAAATGAAAATTCTGTCATAATTTACCCAGGTTGTTCTAAACCTGCATAAGTTTCTTTCTTCTGTTGAACATAAAAGAAAATACTTTGAAGAATGTGGGTAACCAAACAGTTTCTGGTCCCCAATGACTCATAGACCCCATAGACCCATATTTATTAATGTATCATTTATATTAATCATAAATATATACATAGTAAATAATCATATATGTCATATACAATGTGGCATTTTTTTCGTGAATGGGTGTCCCTTATTTTGCCTCACTGAAGGTGGCAACCCTATCTGAGACAGTGCTCATGATTTATTGATATTTAAAAAAAAAACACTGGGTGGATTTTTTATCATTATAGGGTGGTTGTGTACACCCACTACCAAGACAAATTTCAGTTCAAACAACATGTAAAGGTGAATTTAGCATCCGATGACCCCTTTAAAACACCAGCTGTGAATGGGGATGTGTCTCCCTTGTCTACTTGTGATCCGATCGACCAAAACGCATTTTAATACCAGGTGTAAACAGGGCCCTAGAGAGATCAACTATGATTGTGATAAATGGTGCTTTGAAATGTTTAGGACAAAGTAACAGTTGTTAACGGTGAGATCAAATGATTTTGCAATCTTCCTATTTAAGTGGTATTCTGCAAAGTGTTAATTAAGCATTTCCTGTTCTTTTTAGATTGTCAGATTGTAATCTCACTGATCAGTGTTGTGAATGTGTGGCTACAGCGCTACAATTAAATTCCTCATTGAGAGAGCTCGACCTGAGTAACAATGACCTGAAAAATTCAGGAGGGAAGCTGCTCTTTGATGCACTGAAGAGTCCAAACTGCCAACTAGAAAGACTGAGGTTTGTTTTGTCAGATTCTTTTGTATATATTTTTTATTACTTTTTTTTTTTTTTTTTTTACCAACAGTATATAGAGAGTGGATATGTTGGATAAGAGTGGATAAGTGGCTATGTTCAAAGATACTGTTATTTGCCTAAGAACATAAGAATTTTTTCAGTATTTCAAGTCTACAGTTTCTAAAAATATTACAGCATCATTTAACAATATTAAAATCAGATTAAAAAAAACCTTTGTAATGTCACAATTCAAGTATAATATCCAATAAATTTGGAGCACATTTTCCTAAAAGTAACACAGCTCACTGAAAGCTTTGTAACATTTGCAATGTTTTGTAAAGCATCAAATGTATTCTAAATGTGGTGCTAACATAAGGGTCAAATATGTAATCATTTACTCTTCAATTTAGATTGTCCATCTGTAATTTCACTGATCAGTGTTGTGAAAGTCTGGCTTCAGCTCTTCAATCATCAAACTCCTGTCTAAAGGAGCTGGACCTGAGTAACAATAACTTGAAAGATTCAGGAGTGAAGCTGCTCTCTGATGCACTGAAGAGTTCAAACTGTAAACTGGAGAAGCTGAGGCAAATTTAAACTAGTCATTCATTCATTCATTCATAAATAAATAAATAAATATGTATTTATTCCTTTGATGTCTGTCATTGTAGATTATCTGGTTGTATGGTGACAAAGGAAGGCTGCTCTCATCTGGCTTCAGCTCGGAGTTTAAAATTCTCCCATTTGAGAGAGCTGGATCTGAGCTACAATCACCCTGGAGATTCAGTGCTCAGACAGGAGGATCCAAACTGCAAACTGGAAAAACTTTGGTATGATGGACACTTTTTAATTAAATGCAGTTTTATATGATTTACTTCATGAACTCTAAATTAAGGGACTGAGATGATGTTTGTTTACATATTGAACGACAAATAAAATACATATTTACATGTCCATAAAAATAGCATAGATCTTCTGAGAATGTGACTCCAGCAGCAGAAAACGATCCAATTAAACATTTACATAGACAATGTTTTTCTGTTAAAGCTAGGGTAGGCAGTTTCTGCACTAGTAGTATACTACGGAACTACAAAAATAAAGCATGACTTTCTGCAACCTTTGCAAAATTTTACGACAAAATTAAAAATGGTTGATGCCCAAAATGACAGACATGGACCAAACTGTTCAGAAGTTAGGCAGGTGTTGCTGTGCCAAAACTGTGCAAGTACCCTCAGGTCATGGTTTTTATAACATGTACCAAGTTTGGTCTGAATAGCATTGTGGACATATGTAACGGAGTAAAAATAATTAGTTAAATTCATGCATAAATTGGGAAAACTCCCATTGGCTGTTGCATCACTCATTGCGCACATGATGTTGTGGGGCGGAGCTACGTCATCAGCAGCAGAGTCTCTATAATCTCCCTGCTGGTAAATCGCATAAATGATTGCTCCGTCTTAAAAACTAAGTTTGAATTGTTTTCAAGCCCAAGTTTAAACTTGAAACTACACACAAGTTAACTTATTTTGTCTGTCAGTTAATTGTGATGATAAAATGAAGTGTTTATTGGCCTACTTGTGAACTCCGAACTTCTGTTTATTTCATTTAGCTAAGACTTCTCATGCAACATCGATGCAATGTATTCTAACCAGCCTTTTGGTCGTGTTTGTCCCAGGTATGTGTTTTGTTCGGTTTTGTAATGATCTGTGTGAAAATAATATCAGCTATAGTTGAATGTTAGCTATTAGCACACGTGTTGTATGCTCTCGCACGTGCTGAAGTGTGTAGCGGCGCCATTTTAGGGCTGAATTATTTCCGTTCTGTCTTTTATACAAAATATGTAAAATATCGGTCACTTAAGTTTACAGTTTCTCTGTATTAATGTGAATTGACTGTATTAGTGTTTTATTTTATTTAATATGTTTTATTTTGAGGTTTTTGCCCACTATGTCACGTGCACTTTAGAGAAAATGTCAGCAGCAGAGTCTCTATAATCTCCCTGCTGCTAAGACTTCTCATGCAACATCGATGCAATGTATTCTAACCAGCCTTTTGGTCGTGTTTGTCCCAGTTTTGTCTGTCAGGCCCAGTAAAGCATCCTTGAGTGACCATCCATCTGATCTCAGTCTGAAAAACACACACACACGTGTATATATATATATATATATATATATACACAGTATATAGCCTGTGTGTGATATATATGGAAACTGTTGTCTCTTAAAGATTTAAGATTATTTTGGTGGGT